TATACGGATGGGAACTTCGACCCAAGCGGATTCTGCTGCTGCGAAACCAGCAGTGCTTTCCCAGGCGGGAGGGCGGGGGGCAGGTCCAGCTGAGGCCCTGGGGTAAACATGAACCCTCAGCGCCCGGCCACACCCGGGGCGGGGGGATGGGGTCCGGTGAGCCGAGGGCGCCCAGGTACGGATGGGAACTTCGACCCAAGCGGATTCTGCTGCTGCGAAACCAGCAGTGCTTTCCCAGGCGGGAGGGCGGGTGGCAGGTCCAGCTGAGGCCCTGGGGTAAACATGAACCCTCAGCGCCCGGCCACGACCCCGGGGCGGAAGACTTGGCCTCGGGACTCTGAGCAATAGGTAAACGGCTGAGCTTGGGAAGCAGGTGCACTGGGACCCTTACGTCGGGAGGGCTAGGAAAGTTCTGAGTTATGACCTGAGGGTGGCGCTCCGTGGCCAGGTGAGTACCCGGTTTCGGTGAAGGGACTGGATTTGTAGGATGTGAAGAACAAGCCTTAGTTTTGAAAAGCCTGAACCCACCCCGCTCTGTGGGTAATTGTTTGGTGGGACTGGGATAAGAATACTTCGAAGCTATTAGTGGAACATCATTGACTCGAAAATAAGCTTCATAGGGAGCCAGGGTAGATTTTGGAGTATATCACAGTTCAGTCCAGTTGCATCTCTTCCCTTCATCTCACTGTCCCCACTGCATCTCTGCCTGGCAGCAATCCAAGTCCTGGGCACTGTCAAATGGTTCAACGTCCGGAATGGTTACGGCTTCATCAACAGGTATCCAAAGACTAGGGGGAGGGGGAAGGATGGGTGTCTTCACACCTGACGTAGGACTGGACACCTTCCCACTCTTCTCTACCCTGCCAAAGCATGTGGTTGCACTGTTCAGCTGATGCTGGTTGAAAATCTTTAACCACGGGCAAAAATGTGTGCTTAGTAGCAAGATGAAGTGGCCTCCACATCTTCAAGGGCAGCACAGGATTAACGATCCAGGAACTTGACAAACATGGCTCTGACCTTCCCACCTTCAGCTTCTCTGTCTTGCCTTCTGGAACAGCTTCATTATTTTTAGCTTTGCTGTGCTTTGGGGTGGACTGTATGGACTTCTCTACCTCGGCACTGGGTTGGAATCCTCACTGATTTCCTGTTAAGGGCAGCACTCACTGCACCCTTGACTCATCTCCTTACTCATTTGAATCCCCCACCTGATGGCACTGAGACTGGCCTGGGGGTGGAGAGCTAGCCAAGCCAGAGACTGCTTGCAAGAGGCTGTAGTGGTGAATTCTGAGAGCAGAGCCAGGTCTTTCCCAGTGGGGCCTTCCCGAGCCTGGGCACCCTGCCCAGCCAAGCCCTCCTGGGAAGGCTGGTTGCCTCTTAGCAGGCTGACCTTTGTGCAGATCCAAGTGCTTTAAAGCTAGAACATTTGTTCGGGGGGAAAGCAGGGTCCTGCAAGAAGTGCCTCTTCTTTCTCCTGCCCTATTGGGGTTCTGGAATAAACCGGGGTAATAGGCAAGGTAGCAATAGACAATGGGTATTTTATTCTCTTTCACCCGTGATCCCTCTGTGTGTCAAGAGGGAGCATGACCCTGGGTTCATCTCCAAGCTGAGAATGAATGTAAGGTTTTGTGGCTGTTTGGAGCAAGCTCCTAACACTGTCTCCTCAAACTTGTCCCCCAGCCCTGTCCCTGCTTTCTTCCTCCTTAAACAAGAGAAGGAAGAAGACTGGAATTTTCCAACCCCAGCAGAGTTAGGTGAAGGGGGGTGTTGGCCAGGGGCAGTTGTACCCAGCACTGGCAGGTTCTAAGATGCCCTTAGGGTAGAAGGTGGAACACTTGGCAAGTAAAGAGCAGTCCCACCTCTTTCAAGGTGCCTTTATCTTCTGCCTCTGCCCTTTCCCTCATGAAGTCCAGGTTTTTCACTGAGGGTTTAGGTGTACTTTATACCAGCTTCTGGGGGCCCTGTTTACCCCTAATTAACAAATGCTAGAGAGGATGGGCCCACCAATCTTAGGCAGCCAGGGAGGCTTTAGTGGAGCTGAGTGCCTTACCAAAGACACCGGCTTAACGACCCGCCCTGTTCTACAGGAATGACACCAAGGAAGATGTCTTTGTACACCAGGTAAGAGCTAGGATGACTTCCTAAGGGGAGGAACTGGCCCTCTCTTTGAAGATTTTTGCCATTACTCTTGGCTGCACACTGTACGTTGCTTTGGCTTTACCTCACAATGGTCTGCCTGTGCAGAAACAGCTGCCCTCCCATCTGCCTCAGGAGCTGGTATCACCCACCATTAGCCCCACTTGTGTTGAATTAACTGACCTACTCTGTCAGAATTGTGTGTTGTCCTTTGGGTATGGCATGCTCACCACCTGCTAGGACCTGTTAAAATCACAGGAAGGAATGAGTTTTCTGAGGGAAAGAACACAGGCCAGAGAAAGTTGGGTACAGTGGTTCTCAAAGTGTGGTCCCTGCACCATCACCAGCATCACCTGACATTGAAATTCTCAGGCCCTGCCCCAAGCTACTGTATCAATCAGACTTTGGGCCAGGCACTGATTCAACAAGCCTCCCAGGTGACTCTGATGTACTAGTTTGAGAACCACTGCTCTGGTGGAAAGAACTCTCAGTGGGATTGAGGTAAGAAGCACAGTATGTTTTACCCACTTTTCAACTTATGACCATCTCTGCTTTTTGTTTTCTTTTGAGTTCCTATTTCTTGCCTCCCTTTTTGAAGTCCCTCAGGGGTAAGGGAGGATGGGAGAGCATCCTAGGGACAGTGGTAACTTCACAGTGGATTCCCAGACCCCTGGTTTATGACATTTCCCCTATTCAACTTTCTCTTTTGGTGCTAGGGTTCAGACCTAGGGCCATGCGCATGTTAGGCAAGCACCCTACCACTGAGCTATAACTCCAGCCCCTTCCCTACTGAACTTTGACCATTTTCATGTTCTGCTCTCCAGCCACAGACCCCAAATAAAGTGTTGAAAATAATGGAATTGGGTGGTGGACAAAGCAGGGGTGAGGGAGACTCTGATCTTGCTGTCCTCACCTTTCTCATGGCCTTTCCCCCAAACAGACAGCTATAAAAAGAAACAACCCCAGGAAGTTTCTGCGCAGTGTTGGCGATGGGGAGACTGTGGAGTTTGATGTCGTGGAAGGAGAGAAGGTTTGGGGCCTGCTGTGGAGGCCAGAGTTGGCCAGGCTTGTGGGAGGGTGGCCTGGAGGTCAGCCCAGACTTTGACCTTCTGGGATCAGATCTGCCTGTGGCTTGGGGAATAGGGCTGTGTCCTCTCATCTGGATGTCCTCAAGAATATTTCCCTGTCACCAGTCAGTGGTGTCTGAATTTCTTCTCTGTAGAGTCCACCAAGCACATGAAGCCTGTCCCCATGTTAGCCTTCTGGGGTGAAAGATGAACAGTGCCTGCGAGCCCTTTCTCCACCTCACCCACATTCTTTAAACTCCGGGGGGACTATAGCACTTATTTCAGAAGGACAAACTTCTCATCAGGTGGATACATACTTCCATTGCCCACTTTGTGGAATGGACAGAGAAGTCACAGTTAAAGGAATCACAGGAAAGCTAGAGAAGGGATCTAGGCTGGAAGAAGGGGGACACTCCAATGATTCCAGTGAGTTTGGGGATGTACATTTGTTGGGGAGAGTTCTCACTGCCCCTACTCCCCCTCTCTAGGGTGCAGAAGCTGCTAATGTAACTGGGCCTGGAGGGGTGCCAGTGAAGGGTAGCCGTTATGCCCCAAATCGACGTAGGTTCCGCCGGTTCATTCCCCGGCCTCGCCCAACTGCCCCTCCACCCATGGTGGCAGAGGCCGCCTCTGGTGGGACAGAACCCGGAAGTGAAGGAGAGCGAGCTGAGGACTCTGGGCAGCGGCCCAGACGACGGCGTCCACCACCCTTCTTCTATCGACGACGGTTTGTGCGAGGCCCTCGGCCTAACCAACAGCAGCCCATAGAGGTGAGGGGAAGCTGCAGTAAGGGGCCAGCTACCCAAGTTTTGGAAAGGGGGAGTTGGCAAGACAGACATCAAAGGGAGTAGGACTGAGGGCCAGGAAAAGCCAGGGATGATCTGGCCTCTGGACAACTGGGATCCCACAGCCCACCCAGGCTTTGTACATTTCCAGAGCACTGATGGGATAGAAACCAAAGAAACAGCTGCACTGGAGGGGGACCAACAGCAGGGAGATGACCGGGTGCCCCCACCCAGATTCCGGCCCAGGTACCGAAGGTAAGGCTCCCTTTCCATGGTTCTGTCTTCCTCTTCATTGTCCCACAGTGAGCCAGAGTGCAAGGGGAAGAGTGCTAAGAACCTGGGGCTCATGTTGAGAGGTAGCCAGAAGGAAGCAGGACTAGTGGGCCTGGGAAGAGCTGGGGAAGCCCTGGGGAGGGAAGCAGTCTACCGGGGTTCCCTGGTCCCTTCAGGGTATCTGCCATCCCCTAGGCCTTTCCGCCCCAGGCCACCACAACAGCCAACTACAGAAGGTGGGGATGGTGAGACCAAGGCCAGCCAAGGCCCCACTGATGGTTCCCGGCCTGAGCCCCAGCGCCCACGAAACCGCCCCTACTTCCAGCGTCGACGGCAGCAGCCCCCTGGCCCCCGGCAGCCCACAGCCCCGGAGGTGAGGATCTTGGGGTGTCTAAAATTCTTTGGGGATGAGATGAAAGGCTGGGACCACTTCCCCCTTTATCCTTTTCTTTCCCCTTCCTACTCTGCTATTTTGTTCCTCCCCTCCACTGGCCCTGCCCCTCTGTGCAGTCTGCTGGGTCCACTGCCAGCAGCTAGTACACCCATCCCATGAAACCCCCGCAGAGGCAGTCAAGCCATGTCACCCCTTGCAGAACCCACCCCTAGCTCCCTTGGAGCCATAATACCAGCTTATAATGTATGTTAACTGTAAAAATTGGTCAGGCAGGAAGGGGAAGGGAAAACACAGGTTAAATTGGAAGCTCCAGAGTATGAGTCTCAATTGGCCACTGCTCTTCTCTTTAGACCTCAGCCCCCATCAACAGTGGGGACCCCACCACCACCATACTGGAGTGACTCCAACTCAAAGGACACCCAGAGCTACCATCTAGTAAGTGGCTGCTCTTCTCAGGGCAGGTGGCCAAGAAGGCGGGGGACTGCGTCATGGTGATAAGCTATTGCTCATGATTTATCCATTTCTTTTGCTCTCTTAGGTTATCTGCCAGTTTTTCCAACTGACCTACCCAGCACCCTCCTGCCCCCTTTCCAATAATTCATAACATCAAAATACTGGCTTTTCCCCTTTTCTTTGAGACTCAGGAGGGCTAAAGCAAAAGCCTTTTGCTTTTGCTTTTTTTTTTTTTTTTCTCCCTCTCCCCCACCAAGGGTTAAAGGAAAGGATCCATCCTTATTGTTCAGAGGCATCAACTCCCACCCTAAGTCAGGCTGAGAAGGAACCAGCCAGCTCTTACCTCCTGGTTGTTTTTCCCGCTCCAGTTTATTTTTGTTTCCTCTTGACCCCTATCTCTGAAGCCATTTAATGAACTGTCATGTGCCACCTGAGCCTCCAGTAAAAACAAAAACAGGCTTTCTTGTCTTGGTTTTTGCCTCTTTTACATTTTAGAGACTTGGGGAATTCTGCTAACTTGGTTCATAACCACAGACTGAAGGTGGGGTGGTAGGAGGGAACGTGAGCAGTGGGCAGAGGGTCTTGACTCATTGCTCCAGTTTCCCTAGCTGTGCACCTTTGAGGAGAACCTTCACCACTGAGATTCACTGTCCCTGCCTGTTAATTGCGGATGGCCGTCCCCTGCTGTACTGGCACTTGCAGCTAATTTATTAAGCATTTACTATTAAGTCAATGAAAAGAAAGTGGGGCATGAGTAACAGTGTTCAGACTCTAGAGAATTCTGAGGCCTTGAGCAGAGCCAGGACAAAGGAAGAGGGGCAGGCGAGGTTGTGGTCCCTGTCTCAGCCCATCCTCCAGTGCCTTCACGACAGGACGCTTGTCTTCATACAGTGACTTTATAGATGAATCTATATATACACATTTAAAACAACAGCCCTTTGGCTTCTGCTCCCTACCCCTTCAAACATATACAAAAATATCCAAAGGCTCTTTCCAGCCACTGTTTACAGGCAGTTTTTCAATTCCCCTCTTGCCCTTAGTTGGTCAAAAGCTGTGGTACCCTTCCAGCACGGGAGTAGAGGAAAGAGCTGGGCCCCCACTTGGCAGGAGCATCTGAGATAGGGCCCCAAGGCTGAAGGCAGGGACCTGCTGTCCCTTCTTGCCACATATAAGTATACACTATTGTGTTCCTCTCACCCCACCCAGAAAGCCAAGTTGGCAAGGAGGGAGGAGAGGCTAAACTTTGGGAGGGTGCGTCCTTTAGCCTGGAGGGGTCAAGACAGAACCCCCTTCACCCAGAGTCTTATGTGGCAAGTATTTGGTGAAAGTGCCAAATTGTGGGAGGAGTCCAAGGTGGTAGGGAACGACTTCTTATGTCCTGCTCTCTGCCTCCATTTGTCCCATTAAAGAAGCCAGCCTAGAACTTCTACTCCTGCAGTCCCCCTTCTCTAAAGGGGATAAAGACTATTTTGGAGCTGAGTCTAGGTGGGGGTAGGAGGAAAAGGGGAGAGGAGAACGGCCCACCCCATGGCCACAGCCTAACCACAACACATAAATAATCCAAGATAATCACACAAAGGGAATGAGGGGGTTGCTCAGACCACCCTTCCCTTCAGCTTCCCAATTCTCCCAGGCTGTAGGGGTTTCCTCCACCCTGGAAGTAATGGAGAAGAGAGGTTAAAGTGCTGCAGAGAAGAGGGGGTCTCGGGTAGAGAAAGATGGCTCTCTCACCCTGACCTTGCCCCTCAGTCGTTCTCATCTGGCCCTAAATACTCGAGTTCCGTGCTGGGTTTCACCTCCTGCTCTAAAAGAGAGGGTGTCCGGCGGAAGGCAGCTGAGATCTGGTCAAACGTCCGGCCTCGGGTTTCAGGCACTTTTAAGAAGGTGAAGATGAAGAAGCCAAGCAGGAGAACCGCAAATAGAAGGAAGACGTAGGGACCCATAGCATCCTGGGACAGGTGGAGAAAGAGGTGTTGACAGAGTAAGGTAGAGAGGGAAGGGCTGGTATCAGGCATATCAGGAACTAAAGACCCTCAGAGGGGGGTGGGGATACTGCAGAAAGCAGGTGGCTCCCTTGAAATGACCAGAAACAAGAATTTACACTGAAAAAAGGATGTTTTGAACTGCAACTCCCCTTCACCATCCTGAGTTACTGCACTCAGAGTAGATTCCCAGCCATTTGTAGTATTCATATGGAATATATAATTTTATTCCTGGTCTCTTATACCACTGGGTTTATTTCAAAGACACTGCTGATGCCATCCAATCTATTTCCACCCCCTTCTTTACTTTGATTCCAAAATGATCCGAAAACCAACTATCTTGGGGGGAGTGTCCTGACTGGAAAGAAAGGAGACCCTGCTCTGGCCTCGGGTGAGATTGGGGCAAGGACGGGACCTACCGCAACATACTGGAAACCCATGCCAATGATGAAGTTGCATGTCCAGTTGGAGAAGCCAGCCACAGTCATGGCTGCCGGCCGAGGTCCCTGGCTGAAGAGCTCAGCCACGATGAACCAGGGGATAGGGCCAGGGCCAATCTCAAAGAAAGCCACAAAGCCAAAAATGGCCACGATGGAGACATAGCTCATGGCTGGAACCCGCTCCTAGGTACCAAGCAGGGAGGGTGGGAGATCTCATTCAGGCCTTTCTGAATCTTTCAGGCACCCAGAGAACTAAAATTTACCCATCCCAGCAGCTTGTGAGGGACCTGCTACCCTGGGCTAGAACAGGCCCTAGAGCATTTCTGAGCTCTGACATTCTGCTGGCTACTCCAAACAGATCCAAGGCAGAGAGGTAACATTCTAATCCCCCAGTTCCATGATGGTTGATTTCCCATTAGCTCTAAGCCTCAGTCCTTAAGAATTATTACTCCTGAGGCTTGACAAGGCCTTTCTTTCCTGGCTGCCAGACTTGTGCTATAGCAGTCTCTGACAGCCAGCCCCACTGCAGCCTAGGTCCCTCAGGGGCGTAGATCATAGTTCCTTCTGACTCTGGAGCCAAGCACGCACATTTGCAGCACATAGGCGAGCCCTAGGATTGAAGGCATCTATGCTAAGGTGTGGCCTTGGCTGGCCACAGAGCCTCAGGGGGCCATTCCCATGGGTTGGACTGCTGGTTTCCCAGCACCCAGGTCTCACCAGCAGAAGTAGAGCCACAGTCATCAAGACTGCACAGGCACACATGCCTGCCAGGCCCAGGAGATGGAGTGTCCGGCGCCCAGCCCGTTCCACCAGGAACACCTGCAGAGAGAGTCAGGGCTTGGCAGAGGGCCTTCAGAATGAATGAAGTGGAAGGAACTGGGAGGGTGGAAACAAGAATAGGACTTCTGGGACACCCAGGGAGGTAAAGCCAGTTACATAGGCCATTCTGGAGGTAAGCAGTTACCGAGACCAAGGTGAAGACAGTGTTGACCACACCAGCTCCTATAGTGGCATAGGCTGGCTGCCCTACCCCTGCTGACTCAAAGATGCTGGTTGAATAATAGAAGACCTAGAGGTGAGGGAGAAGAAAAGGTGATGGTAAGGATATCCCAATCTCCACTCCGGCCACACCAAGCTGGACTGATCCCAAGTGTTAATGAAGGAGGCCTGCTCCCTTCTCCTCTCCCCTAGGCTGCTGCCTGCCCCACGCCCAGCCTGAAGCCTGCACCATACGTACGGCATTGATGCCCGAGAGCTGCTGGCTCAGCTGCAGCACAACTGCAATGACCAGGGGCTGCCGGTGGGCGTGGCTGCCCAGGAGCTGGAGCAGGGACAGTGGCCGCTCACGCTCCAACTTTCGCTTCTCATCCTTCAGCTCAGCCAATACATGGGACACATCAGCCCAGCCTGTCAGGCGCTTCAGACCTGGGGGTGGGGAGGGTCAGGCCTGAGGGGACCTGAGAGGCCAGGTGCTAGCAAGATGGGGTGGAGGCATGAGCCTTGGCTAGATGCAGGGTGAGAGCTCACTCTTTCGGGCAGGCCCCTCCAGGTTCCGGATGATGTAGAGGTAGCGGGGGCTCTCGGGGCAGAAGGGCAGCAGGACCAGCTGCAGGAGGGCAGGCAGCACTGTGATTCCCAAGAGCAGTGGCCACAGGGTGTCAGTACCCAGCATGGTCTCCAAGCCCAGCACCTATAAGAGGAAGTTGGGGAAGAGGGCAGTTGACTCAGGCCTCCCTGAAGGTCCATCTCAACCCCTGCCTAGCCCCCCACAAGGCCAGGCCTAGTCACCTGGGCAATCAGAATGCCAATGACGATGGCCAGTTGGTTGAGTGTCCCCAAGGCTCCCCGAAGGTGAGTGGGGGCAATCTCCCCCACATACATGGGCACCAGCCCAGACGTTAGCCCTGGGTAAGAGGGAGAAGAGAGGGCTGAGGGCAGCTGCCCAGTCCCATCCAAAAGTCCATGCATGGTGGACAATAAGGCTAAGGGCAGGGCTTGTGGTGCCCATGGGTACCTGAGTAGGCGCCAATGAGGAACCGTCCAAGAATGAGAATCTCATAAGAGGCAGTGGCTTTGGCCAGGCCCATAAGGGTGCCCCCCAGCACTGCCAGGATGTTGTTGACCAGCATAGCCCTTTTCCTGGTAGGTAGATGGAGTAAGGCTATGTCAGAGCACCCATGCTTTGGTTCCCTTCCTACTCCCCCACTGTGCCCTCCAGCCCCATACCTTCCCAGCCACTGAGACAGGGTGCCAATGAGGAAGGAGGAAATCATGCCGCCTACAGAGAAGATGGCCACGGAGAGAGCCCAGAGGGTGGTGAGGGTGCCTGGTGGGATGGAGCCAGGTCCCTCAGGCCCCTGCCTCCCCAGCCAGGTCTCATTGTAGCTTTGTTCAATCACCTAGGGGGATATAGCAGAGGAGTGATTTTCTGCAGACCCTTCCTTTTCGACCACTGCAGGGCTCCCCTGTCCTCCTTGCTAGGGTATCCCTGCCCTGCCAGTTGCAGGCCCCTCACCTTTTGTGGGGCATTGATGACCCCAATGTTATAGCCAAACTGTAGGGAACCAAGCACAGCTGAGAATACAGCGAGGACCAGGGTCCCAGTCATTTGCTGTCGAGGGGGTTCCCCATCCTGGACAGGCAGAAGCAGAGAGAGGCATGTCACACAAATCACACTTTCTTCCCTTCCTCCAGGAGCTCCCTTCTATTTGGAGCCTGATGATGCTGGGATCCATCCAACATGCTGGGTTAGAGAAACTGGGCCATATTAGGAATTGCACAAAGATCTCAATGTAAACAGGACCACGAGGAATCCAACCGGAACCAGGGCATAGAGGAGAAACTGGATGTTTGAGTCCCAAGACAGAGTAATGTTAGAGGACCCATGTCTCAAAATTCCTCTGTGACCTTGGGACAGCCTTAGATTTGTGTGACCTTGGGCGAGTCACTTCCCGGTTCTGAGCCTAGGTCTCCTGTTCTGAGGAATGGGGGTGATGTCTGCCTTGTCTGTCAGTAAAACTGCTGTGAAAATCAAAGC